ATTGTTCGGCATGATTCTGGCTATTGCGTTGATGACCTTCGTCGCCTTCTCGCAAGCATATTCGATGTGGCTATTAAAGTTTAGCCGGTCGTCGATCATCACTCCCAGATACTTAAGCATGCGCTTCGAAGCAATGGTGTGCTCTCCAACGGTAATCTCTGCCCGCTGCACTGCTTTGCAGTTACTGACCAACATCACTTCTGTTTTGTGGTGGGCTATCTGCAGCTTCGCTCCTTGCATCCAGTTACCAATCGTATCTATCGCCTCAGCCGCCAACATTTCCACTTCTTCCAGCGTCTCACCGGTTACCGTCAAGACGACATCGTCCGCAAAGCCAACGATCTCAACTCCTTTGGGCAGCTTGAGCGTCAGCACGCCATTGTACATTCCGTTCCACAGCGTAGGACCTAGAATGGAGCCTTGGGGAACCCCCGCCGTGATTCTAAGCGATTTCTGCCCCGTGTCTGTCACGTAGACAAGGACCCGGTTCTGGAAATAACTACTTAGAATCCTGCAGAGGTAGCCTGGAACCCTCATTCTATGGAGCGCCTTGGCGATGGCCTCCCAGCTGGCGCTATTGAATGCATTCTTGACATCGATCGTAATCACGGCGCAGTATCGATTTCCTCTCCGCTTCTGTTTGGAAGCTTTCTCGGCTCTGTCAATCACTGTCCGAATTGCATCCACCGTCGATCTCCCTTTCCGGAATCCAAACTGTCTCTCCGACAATCCGTGTTCACTCTCCGTGCATTTCGTCAGCCTGTTGAGGATGATCCTCTCTAAGAGCTTTCCTACAGTATCCAGCAAGCATATTGGCCTATACGATGCAGGATCCCCCGGTGGTTTTCCGGGCTTCTGCAACAGCACAAGCTTTTGTACCTTCCACCTATCAGGGAACTGACCATCGTCCAGACATTTCTGCAGCACCATCCTGAACATGTCCGGGAACGTCTGGATCGCCGCCTTCAACGCCACGTTGGGAATTCCATCCGGGCCGGGAGCTTTATTCGCTGTGTGTGTCTGTGTGTGTGTGTGTGTGTGTGTGTGTGTGTGTGTGTGTGTGTGTGTGTGTGTGTGTGTGTGTGTGTGTGTGTGTGTGTGTGTGTGTGTGTGTGTGTGTGTGTGTGTGTGTGTGTGTGTGTGTGTGTGTGTGTGTGTGTGTGTGTGTGTGTGTGTGTGTGTGTATGTGTGTGTGTGTGTGTGTGTGTGTGTGTGTGTGTGTGTGTGTGCGTGTGTGGCGTGTATAGTGCATGTTTTCAACAACTACCTGGCCAGCCGGCAACTGTTGGATCTTTTGTGCTACTCACCGTTCCCTTTCTCTGTACTTATCGTACCCATTCTCTTATGTTTCATTGGACTAAAATTGTTGGCTCATCACCTATTCCAACAGTTGGTAGTAAACTGTGGTACTGTATAGTGTACTAAAACTAGGGGTATCAAATTGGCAATTATTATTCAAATTCAAATGGAAATGCAGAATACGATAAATATACAGAAATACATCAACAAATGTTACAAACGGTAACACACTTAACTGTGAACTATTTTCAGAATTACCTTAAAATTTCCATAACGTCCAACGTTGATGGCCTTTAATAAATAAAGTAGCAAGTTTGTTTTTTTTTATTATTTTTTATTAGAGGGTAAATCAATTGCAGTGATATTTTTAAAGAAACATGTTTGCAAATATGAGAAAATCTGGAATATATTTTAAAAAATCTGGAAATACACGTGGTCTATCTGTGTATCTGACAAGACGACTAAAAATCTGGAAAATCCAGATAAACCTGGAATACTGGCAACGCTGGACATCAGGGAGGCGACTACATACGTAGGATGGCCTCTGAAGATCCCAATAACCCTGGCTGGGATTGAGTCCATACTAGCATTGAGTGATATTGAGACAAGAATCGATTTTTTTTTTTTTTTTTAGAATAATCGATTCACCGATTTAATCAATCATTTTGAATCGACCTTTTGAATCGATTAATTTGAATCGATTAAAAATGGCACAAAAATGTTTCATATATGGGTCATTCCAGCTCAAGTGGGTATAGAATTTAAAAAAGTTGTGGTCGATGTCACCGATTTGAGCCAAACTTGGCCAAAAAGCTTATTTCGGCATTCTGAACAAATGCTTTTTTTTATTTTGCTCTAATGTGCCTAGATCCTTCTGGGCTACAACTCTGGATTTTCGAGATTTTCGCCGAAGTAATACAAAACATATAGTCAAAGTTTAAAAATATTATTGTGCCAAGCTCAAAACTACCACTCACTCATCTGGTCATATCTCAAAAACTATTTGTTCAAATGATTTGCTCTTGAAAACACATCAAGTAGCAGAGTTTTCCAAGGTGTACTAAAACTGTTAACCCAAAATATAAAGAAACAAGAAATCCCGCCCATGGTGAAAATAGGCCATTTTTTGACAATTTGGATACCTGCCGGTAATCAGCCTATTTACTGTAGTTACTATAACAAAAACAAAATGTGGGTACATCTATAAGTATCCACATTAAAAAAAGCCTTCAAATTGACGTTGTAGATTAATCTCTTCTAAAAGATGATATTTTTAAAAATCTCGAAAATCCAGGGTTGTAGCCGAGAGGGATCAGGGCACTTCAGAGCAACATAAAAAAAGCGTTTGTTCGACCACAAGTGGTGTACCAACTTGAGCTGGAATGACCCATATAACGGATCAAAGGAAAGTTGGTGCACATTAGGGCCAAGTTCAGTCTAAAGTTGTTATTCCAGTCATCGTCCTGCAGTCGTCCTGAACCTGTGTGTGGGCTTGGAGAAGGGGTCTTCCAACCCGCAACTCAAGGTAAGTATGTTCGTGTCATCACCAGTTCCGCTCCTGATTCGTCCGTTGCTTCCAGCGCCTCACGGCCTCAAGAGCAACAACCGGCTGGTTCGACTGAAACGTCATACTCCGATGGCTTCAAATCCCAGATCACTGCACCGGATCTTGCTCGCCACGTTTTGGAACATCCCAGACCAAAACGCGCTGCCTGCTGCCACTCAACCCAGTCGCGCTTGCTGATTCCTGTCATCGTAGTCGTTCTGGCCCTGTGGTTGAGAATGATGAAGGGGTCTTCCAACCTTCTACATCAGGCAAGTATGCGTTTGTTGAAAACAGTTCTTCTCCTGATCCGTCTCTGTGTTCCAGAGTACCACCATGCTTGTTTCGGCTGATCGATCATTCTGCAGACCTCCAACCGACGTCGTTCGACCGCCTGTTGGTGTAATACCAGAACGTTCGTGGCCTGCGAACAAAGATTGATGATTTTTTTTCCTGACTGCCGTTGACTCTGACTACGATGTCATAGTTCTTATGGAAACCTGGCTCGATGACCGCATTAATTCATCTCAATTATTTGGCAGTCTAATCACGGTTTTTCGAAACGACCGCAACCACCAGAATAGTACCAAATGATTGCGGTATCCAAACGCCAAAGCTCCTGCATCGATCCTGCTCCAGTTTGCACTTCTCTAGAGCAGCTGTGGGTCAAAATAACGACGCCTCGTAGATCAATAAGTATTGGCGCTATGTATCTACCTCCAGACCGGAAATCTGATTCGAGCAGCATTACAAACCACATCAGTTCGATTGGTACCGTGTTCTCTCGACTAGAACAAACCGACCTAGCTCTGGTATTTAGTGACTACAATCAGTCTGGGCTCTCATGGAACGTTCCTGCAAACGATCTTCCTAGCATTGATGTTCTTCGCTCTAACATGCCCGCATCCTGCTGTGCTCTCCTTGATGGTGTCAACCTGCATGGCTTAACGTAAATCAACTCGATACTGAATAGCTATCCTAGAAGCCCTCAGAGCCTTTGATTGGCATCGACACCAATCATCCTGCGTTGGAAGTTTCCATCAACCTATCTTTTCCTGTTCGCTACGATAACCCCCCTGTTGATGTACATGAGCTCGACTTTCGTAGAGCAGATTTCGTCGCGCTGAGTCACTCGCTTACCCAGGCAGATTGGCAGTTCCTTGACACGTGTTCATCCATTGATGAAGCCGTAAACTACTTCGCTGAGGTCGTTGGCCGGGCAATAACTGATTCTGTCCCATTGAGGAGACCCTCTCCCAAACCCGCATGGTTCAATGCTCGACTACGGAATTTGAAGCGTCTGAGATCGAAGGACCTCCGTAAATACTGTCGTACTCGTAACCTACTCACCAAATGATTATTTTCAACAGCAAGCAACGAGTATCGCACATACAACCGCATTCTTTACAAGAGCTACACAAGGCGTGTACAGGCTAATTTACGGCTTAATCCAAAGCAGTTCTGGTCACTCGTGAATACCAAACGAAACGAGGAGGGGCTACCAGTTGAAATTCACCTGGGTGATAGAATCGCCAGCAATTCCCTTGAGAAATGTAATCTTCTGGCAGAACATTTCAAAAGCATTTTCAATAATACTACGGCTTCGTTGTCCCAAGTTGCTGAAGCGGTGAGGGACACTCCCAGTGATGCTTTCAATTTTTCGGTTACCTCGGTTGCAGTAGACCTCGTCGAATCCGCCATCAAGAAAATGAAATTTTCTGATGGTGCTGGCCCTGACGGGATCCCCTCAAGCATTCTGAAGCGATGCTGTTCAGAGCTTAGAACACCGCTTTCGAAGCTGTTCAATATTTCATTACAGCAGGGGGAGTTCCCTAAGCGTTGGAAATCGTCATTCATGTTCCCGATCTACAAGAAAGGATACAAGAGAAACTTCGAAAATTACCGAGGAATCACATCACTCAGTGCCTGCTCTAAAGTTTTCGAAATCATCATCAACGACGCATTATTCTCTAGCTGCAGAAATTACATTTCTCCTGACCAACACGGTTTTTATCCCAAGAGATTGCATTGTGGGTCGATGCCTCTTTATCATGCTAATCCCAAATTTATCCTTTCCGATTTTAAGCAGTTCAATTGTCATACTTATCAATAATGCAGCAATTTTAATCACATTTCAAGCAAGCAATCAATTACTCACCGCTTTTTCCCACGCTAGGTGCTCCTATCACAGCCACTTTAATCTCTGCCAGGTATGACTTTTTTCTCCTGATCCCTCGGGTAGTCATCCCACTGCTTCTGGTTGTATGCAAACTCCCACTCGGTATTCACTCAAAAGCAAATCCCCTCGATACACTCGGTTCACCTCGGTGTGCAATAAATCACTCCCCCGCTGGAATCTCTGTTTACGCACTCAAATGATGCATCTCTGTTGAAAAAAAAATTCACAATCGAACAATTGGGTCAGATCAAACAGAACTTCAAGTTTGAATAAAACAATTTCAACCGCACATCTGCTCCCGGATTTTCCACACTCTGTAATTCAGTTCTCAAACTGACCTATTTGTTAAAGTTAATGGAAAACTTTCACCGTAGCGACGTCCATTTCGTTCACTCGCTTGCACACCCATTGCATTGTTGATCTTTTTTTTTTTTTATTCCTCACAACCGCACACGAGTCCTCACGTGTTGAATCAAATTTTAATTATTTTACACCATTATCCCCATCCACCGGTATCGATTCCCGGCGAATGAAAATTTTGTTTGGCCCCCATAAATGCACGGACGCACGCACGCGTAAATCATCAATTGGTTTGTTTTCCTCTGACTGGCACAAACAAGTGTGTTTAAAATGCTGGTGTTTAATTTACAAAATAAATCGAATCTGGAAACGAGCGAAAAATTGCTCGGAAAATTCTGCTGAAATGGAAGACTATTGTTACTTTTTTTTGTGTTGCAGGGGTTCCAAAACTTCGATGTATGAATAATTGAACGGAGAATTTCCAGCTACCTTCGTCACATTTCGGAAATATTCGCTCAGAAAAAAATCATAACAACCAAACCCGACATGGCTCTAGGCAGCAAATGATATAATGGACAGACTGTGGTCTTTGATGTCTGGGAATGCAATTTTCGGTGAAAAATGTCCATTGTGAACGTGTGCCAGAAATTAAATTGCTGCCATTCATCACGGACCGAAACCGGGGCTCAGCGAATGGGACACGTAATTTAAAAAAAAAATGCAAATGAAGCTTTGAAAAGACAATGTCTTTGAATTCATGTACTCGGCGGAGTTTCAACCCTGAGCAATTCCAAAATACGCACAATATGTCTTCCTCGTACGCAATTCTTCTTATTTCATTAATATTTCGAATCCTCTTCTGGAAGCCATCCCAATCGCTGTTCACTATTCAGCCACTTTTTAAATTTTCTTTTTATCACATTCCGTTTTTCAACAGCTGAACGTTTTGCGGTGAAAATTTCCATCCCCGTCACAAACATCGCAGGTTCACAATATTCCGGAAGCAGACATTCCAAACGGGAAAATTAATTTTCCAGCCAATAGTTGCCGTTTTCTGGCTTCTGACTGCCCGACTGAGCATCACTGAAAATTCCAACTGAGGAATTTCTGCCGTTCGAAACACACCTGGTAAAACTCACGGCAGCGTAACAAAAAAAAAATAAAGCGAACTGCGGTCTCGTCGATGTGCGCAAGCTGATCCCTTCCTCGAAAATCTGCGACTGATGGGTGCGCCGAACGCAACTTCGCGTCTGTTTGGATGGTCGGCAAATATGGTACTGGGAAATGGATTTGCCGTTTCCAATGGAAAACAGGGAAAGCCGACAGAGATTTGGATGAAAATATCACTAAAACCAACAGGGAAAAACGATCACCGTGCGGTGGAGGGAATTTGATCATACGGACCAGTCGTCGCCAAGTTGGCTCGAACATTGGAGGGTAAAACGTCATTTTCCATATTTATACAGTCAACTCTCCATAACTCGATATTGAAGGGACCCTCGAGTTAAAAATAATGACGAATCATTCCATCTACTGGCCCTATTCATCCACATAAAATTGAAAAATGGTTTAAGTATCCATTTACGAAAGTTGTGGCTATTTGATTCCTAATTCAGCCATTTCACGATATAGTGGTTCACAGAATTTCCTAAAAATTGGTAGTTTTGTTCCTTATCGCAAAAACTACAAGAGACAGCCCTATGGGGTTGTACGCAATGGTGACGTAGGACTACGTGGTTTCATATAATTAATCTTATTTGTTAACTGCAGCAGGAGCTTGTGTTTTGTGTAGGAATAGGAATTTGAGCGGGGTTCTATCTGTTTATACTCTTTAGTAAGACGCGCTTGACATAGATGACCAGGTTGAAAACGTTTAGGATATTTTTAGCAGGCTTTTATTTTACTGTACCTAGCTGCAGGATGGTGGCTTCGATGACTTTTGCTCCACCAAGTACTTGACCATTCCGGTCGTACTGGAGGTACGGTCTCTGAAGACGCCGTCGACGACGACTGGGTGGTGGTGAGAGTGGCATCATCAGCGAACACAACCCCATCGGAAATCGTATTTGGCAGCATTTTATGAATACGTCCCCCTGCTTATTTATTATTTGCTTATTTTTTACAGATTTACTTCGAAGCATTGGAGTCTAAATTTAAGCTAAATGTAGGCGCCAATGCTTCATGGATATTCCCAATAATTTTTACTGAATTGTATTGTTTTATGTAGCATTGAAACAAAGAGTTACGTATTGCATTGCGTGTGTTTAGTTTTTGGACAGTTTTGAAACCCCAAATTGGAAAATTTAGATTTTGGGTGAAATTTATAAGCTCCTTAAATGGCTTTCGAGTGACTTTCAATGAGATATTCTTATTTAATTAGGGCTCCCTAAATCCTTGTATGAAATGTATTGTCAGTAGATATTTTGTATTTAAAAAAAAAATCGACTAAATGTAAGCATTTTTTTATACCGCTGGTAGTTTAACTGAAAATCAGATACTTCTAACATTGAAAATATTTCCCATCATTAAATCAGAGTATGATTTAAAAAATATGTTGATTGACACTTAGATCACAATTCAGTTAGAACGTCAATTAAATAAAATTGAAAATTATGCAGAAAACTTGGGGTTGTGTCATTTTGCAGAAGGACATTTCGCCGAAGGACATTTCACCAAAGGACATTTCGCTGGAGGACATTTCACCAAAGGATATTTCACCGAAGGACATTTCACTTGTGTTTCGCCGAAGGATATTTTGCCGAAGGACATTTCGCCGAAGGAAACTTCGCCGAAGGAAATTTTGCCAAGACCATGCTGGAGGTGGCTGGGTTCGATTCTCGGTCTGGTCTAGGAATTTTTCGGATTGAAAAATGTCTCGATTTTTCTTGGCATTGAGTATGATTGTAATTGCCTCACAATATACTGTAAAAATGGTACAGGCATCGAAAGCTCTCAATTAATTACTGTAAAAATGCATTTAGAACACTAAGTTGATATCACGCAATAAGCGAGGGGGGTGACACATCTGGATTATCTTCTTTTCATCATTAATCACACGTATCTTTATAGATTTATTTACCGTACGCTATCTGTTTATATCTGTGCCATCTACTTTCATCTACTCTCGAATCTTGCATCTTTTGTCACATCACTCGCATCGTCATCGAAGTAATCACAAAGACCGTCGAACAAAAAACAGCAAACGTCAGCAATGTTATTTGTTTACATATTACTGCGGCTCGATAATAAAGTGTTGTGAAAAAGTGTTGAACAGAAAAGGTAAAGAAAACATTTCTACATCGAATTAATGGTCGTTTAGAAGCATCGGTTGAAGTTGCAAAAGATTGTGAGATTGATACTCGGAGAAAAATTGTAAGATCCAATTAAACTGCAAGTTTGATGTATGTTTGAGTTCGACCTATTTATTTTCTAGTAGTTGTCAATCAGGTCAGGCCCCACGAAAAGCCGCTATCCGGGTTTCAACTGGCCGTGAATAAGACATCCAACAAGAGTATTCAACCAGCCGAGTTGGACGCTCAAAATGTTAACACTCGAATCAGCCACATCAGGACACTCATCTGTATCACCATCGGATCACTACAGAATTTTATACCCAATCGCTGTTGAACATACTAGTAAAATGATTTAATTAAGACAAGCAATTTCCAGTTCTAAGGAAGTTTTTTTTAATCTTTATAAACGAGATTTTTAGATTGAGCTTCGAACTTTTTTTAGTCCTAAGGAATTTATTTTCTCAGTGATGAGTTATAACAAGAGGAATCATGCGTTCAATGACCTGATCAGTACATCCCTATTGAGGTGGCAAAAGTTACGCCGTGTGAGGTGACTCTCTGTCCAAATCAAATGGAGGATCACTTCACACGACGTGATTTTTCTCACCTCACTAGTGACAGAGTGTCACGACTCACAGAATAGGGATGCTTGTTCCAATCAGCAGCTAAATTCCGGGCATACATTTCATCTAAGAAGAATAAATTTCTACATTCTACTACGTGTTTAAGTATTTCCTTCCATTACTATTTTAGCAAATCTACTTAAATCTACTGCATGTTTCAACGATCATCTCTCTCTTTGGAAGGGTCAGTTTATTACGTAATTCCTCGTGACTCGAATACTTGAAACATTTACTCTGCACTGCACAGTGGTCCAGAATGCAGATTTAGGTGGAATGATATGTTTTGAGCCTGAAATTGAAATTTTATACTAAAAGTCTCTTCCACAAAGTTGTTTCTTATAGTTAGGCCCTCATTTTTATGACAATGAATTCTAGGTGGTTCCTATTATCATTAAAATCAAAAATCTAACTTTTTTGTTTGAATAAATTAAGGTATACATTCTTGGGCAAAGTTATAGCTGAGCTAATTTCAAGCAACTTTGTTGGAAATAACTTATTTAGGTCTCTTAAATTGGCCGATTTAGAGCTATTTTATTGAATTAAGTTAGGGTGGCTGTTAAAAAAAAACAGTTGTTTTGCTCTAGTTTTCTTATTTCGAATTTCTCAGCAAAGGTGTCTTGAGATAACTTTTAGATCTTAAGAAGGCGCAAATTTTTGTTCCACAAAGCTTGTCAATATCTTTCGTCGATCAAGAGTTATTGACGTTTTTATACTAAAAATATGAATTTTTCACATGTTAATATCTCTGGTTGGGGCTAACAAAAAAAAGTTTTGTTTTTTTACGGCATTTGAAAGAGCGTATATTTTTCTCAATAATATGAAAAAACTGGAGGTATGTTATTTTTAAAACTCGTATAAAATCAATTTAAATTTATTCATATTTTTTACTATATTTGGGTATATCTTTTTTATTAGAAGAGATACAGGCATATTATTGAGAATAACATACGCCCTTTCAAATGCCGTAAAAACTTTTTTTTTATTGCCCCAACCAGAGATATTAACATTTGAAAAGTGCATATTTTTAGTATAAAAACGTCAATAACTCTTGATCGGCGAAAGATATTGACAAGCTTTGTGGAACAAAAATTTGCGCCTTCTTAAGATCTAAAAGTTATCTCAAGACACCTGTGCTGAGAAATTGAGTCACCCTAACTCAATTAAAGAAAAAAGCTCTAAATTGGCCAATTTAAGAGATATAAAAAAGTTCTTTTCAACAAAGTTGCTTGAAATTAGCTCAGCTATAAAATGTACACCTCAATTTATTCAAAAAAAAAGTTTGATTTTTAATTTTAATGATAATAGGAACCACCCTAGAATTAAATGTCATAAAAATGAGGGCCTAACTATAAGGAACAACTTTGTACAAGAGACTTTTAGTCTAAAGTTTCAATTTCAGGCTCAAAACATATCATTCCACCTAAATCTGCATTCGGGACCACTGTGCACTGTTCGGTAAGCAGGGTCTGGTCAATCTTCAGATCCGTTGCGTACTGCGGAAGCCATTCCCATGCACTGGACGTTTTTTACTTGTTCGTCACCTTGGGTTATCGCTGTGGCAAGCAGATAAAATAATAATGTATGTATTTTATTGTTTGACCTCACCTTTCATGTTACTTAAACCATCATTGGGACATTATTGTATCTGTTGATGTTAACAAATAAAAAAATAGTTAAAACAGGTTAAAACTATACAATCATTCAACTAATTTTTAATCTAGGTACGGTAGAAGCAGAATTCCGAGATAATAATTTGTATGGTGTAGCCTGTACTGTGTTGGATTGTGATGCAAGATGCAAGTCCAGTGCATAGCTGCCTCGGCTACAAAGTACACGTTGGTCGTAACACCACTGATCAATGAAATTCAATAAGCTTGTAATGCAAAAAAGAAGAAGAAGGAAATTTTTCCGAAGGACATTCCGCCGAATGGGTCATTTCGCCGAATCTTAAAACTCGAATGAACTTTGAGTGTATTGGTTTATTTCCTTTAAATTCCGTTATAATTTCTTATCTTTTGACAGATACGCGTATTTCGTCTACTACTTGCAGACTTCATCAGTGTCAAGTACTCAACACCACTGATGAAGTCTGCAATAGCTTGCCAGGTTGAATAGTTCGAACCTTCTTAATACTTTTTCCAGACTGATTTCAAAATTTACTGAGCTTTGAGAAAAGGTCAAAACCGTAGAAAATGGCTTAATCTTCGGCAAAATGACCTTCAGTGAAACGTCCCGCTCCTCTATCACCAACCAACCAAATTTATCCCATTAATCAAGTTGCCCCCGGATCACAGTAGTTACATTTTAAATTTTGGTTGTATCGAAATGCAGATTC